CCCCCATCGGTGAGATGATTATATTATCTGGATGAACATTAGCTGGAAATGTTGCTCTCAAAGCCCTCCACAACTGTCCTCTGTATGCTGCAAAAAGTTCTGCGTCATACACCGTTGTTCCCACCCGTCTTTGGAGTCCAGCCTTCTGTAAAAGCTCCTCCATGGCCGGTACCCCAAGAAGGTTTGCCAGAAGACGTTTAATGTCCCCAATTGCGAGCTGAGTACCAGTAAATGCTTCTTCCAGCTTCGAGATCCATGGCTGTGCACTATCCTGGAGTACTGGCAGTTTTTCGATTATGTCTGACATGTCCGTGTTCTGCCAAGGTTTATATTCGAGATTCTGTCCACGGACTAGGACTGGGGCCATCTTCTTAACGTCTCTCCTTCTGAGGTTGTATCTTCCAGGAAGGCTGCGTTGAACTATTTTTCGTTTTAATTCTTTTTCTTTTATCTTCAGCTGCTACAATTGTTCTGTCAGCAACCGCAGGTTGACTTTGCTGGTAGCTTGTTTCAACTCAGCACGGCAGTCATGCTTAATCGCCCTTAGCTCTTCTAGCACTTGTTCGATGTCCGGCGGTTTAGGCGATGCTAGAATGCCTGCGCCTGAGTCTTGTTGACCGTCAGAGTACTCACAKCTGTCTTCAGAATCTGCCTTGCTGGAGTCGCTGTCTAAGATGATCTGCTTTGKYTGTCTTTTGCCCTTTAACTCAGCTTTCTGCARGATATGTTTAAAACACTGGGTGTAGCCTCCCAGTGTGTCATCCGATTCACTATGAGTGTTGATTCTGTCAGAAGTGATTCTCTGGGAACCATCTGTTATCTTTTTCCTCAGAGYTGCATCACTGGTTCTGCACTTCGTGGCTGGATACATTGTGATGGTGGTTCTGGCTTGTCCCGTCTCCAGAACCCGTTGTTCATCATCTTGAACATGATTAGATCCTTCCTGATTAATCACTGGGAGTTGTGGGTAGATGTTCTCACATAGATACGGTGGAGGACAAGCAGTTGGAGCAGTGTGAGAGAAAGGTTCATCCGGCTCTGTCTTCAGTTTTTCTGGAGGTGGTGTGTTGGACTTGTCGTTTCCTGGTGACTGTGTCTGTGTAACTTGGAAATCATTGTCACCCTTATAARCTCGTAGACGTTTCTGGCCCTCATCATAAAAAAGCGTCAAAATACCAAGTTCTACAGAACGTTTGTCTTTACATTTTTGTCCGCGCCTACCTTGTTTCTGTTCGGCTTTATAAGCAGTCACTAAAACTTGAACTGTTTCAATGACTGTTGGATTAAACGTACAATACTCAGGCCAGGGTTGTTGAATATAAGGCCAACGTTTATGTAACTTTTTGGATACCTTTTCAATTCCTGTAATTAAGGGATGTTTTTGTTTAATGACATCAACCGGAGTAAGTCCGGGTG